AGTTACAGATGATAAGTGGCTTTTGTCCATGGATACTTGAAGCCAACTTCAAAGAAAGAAGGGTACAGATGCTTTGTCACCTCTGAGGACTAAGACGGAATGCTTCAGGGCCGGTAATGATACTAACTCTCTATATCTTTCAAACTGGAACACAGAAGTGTAGCACTACTAGTTGCTGGCAGAAATAGGTAAAAGGATAGTACGTATGTACACAGTAGGACTCCTAGGAGGAAATCAGTATACCATCTAATACCATATTTGTAGTATTATTAGAATCCAACCTCGTAATTAATAAAATAAATAGTTTTTTTTTTAATTTAACAACACCTTAAGGGCTGATTTTTCATTCGACAATTAAAAGTTATCCATAGAATAAGTTATAACCTGACTGAATATAAAAGTTGAACAATTGAACTATTTTACTAATACAATGGTAATTTTTAACATGTTTACGTTATATTTTATCCTATGAGTAAATTTTTCCCGAGAATTGAAAAATCAGTCCTAAATTTAAAGGTTTGATTTTTTTATGATTTTAAACAGAAATATTTTATTTTAGGATATTGAATACCACACGATTTTTCGTTATTTACCACCGTCGTTTTTTACATCACTATACAGCGATATGAAGATTACTCTTTAACGCTATCATAAAAAAGTGTTTTATAATAAATGGAAGTATTGATGTCGTTCTCAAAGGTTGCTAACTAACATCTTTTATTATAACTACCTAATGTTTAATTCTCATGCAATCGATGAGTTATAAGACGGCATGACAATAATTTATATCGCATATCTTATCTGATTGATTCATGGTAGATTATTTAAATTTTTACATTACAAATAAATAAACTAGTAAATTTAAATAGCAATTTTTCATCTCCTGCTATTTTTTTAAATCACGTTCGGAGTTCATCGCGGACAAACAATGTGACACGTAATTTTTATATATAACTATTTTAATATATAAAACATCAGTATTTGTTTTATGTTCTCCCATCGCACAAATGACTGCTGTAGACATCACACATCAGGTTAATTAATACTTATATAATTTACCTAGGTAGTAGGTAGTGGTGTGTTGAAGTTACCATTATTCTTCAAACTTCATCTGTTGTGCACGCAGCGCACTCTGCTAAATAACGTACGATATCCTAGCGACCGACAGATAAAGGGCTGCATTAACATACAAAATTATGAACCACAATTACACCTAGTAGTGATCGGAAGGTCATGCCAGTTGGAACGGTTCTTGGAAAGACTACCCCATATTGAATTAAAAAGCAGAGGATCAGATATTGTATTTATAGGACTTAATTATTTTTTAACTAAAATCACCATACCGACTTAAAATGCTTTAATATATATTATACCCCAATCGATTTGTTTCTTTATTTCAACATTATATCATTTTTATAGAACCTTTATCATTAAGTAGCATAGTAATTAATTCTTATAAAATTATTTTTGAATTTAAACTACAAGAACAGTTTCGGATAAGACTATGTCTCGACTTTAACGTACAAACGCCAAAAACACTATAATATCTAGTTGGGTGGTACTAATAATTTTTTATCATACCTTTATTTACCATTGTTTGATAATCAAAGAGCATCATATAATAATTATTGCCACATATTTTTAGTTTTTGTCTAAGACATAGAAAAAATATGCTTGTTTTATAATTGTAATATAAAGGAATCAAAATATTTAAAATCGCGTAGAATGACAATTAGAAGCTTTTATCATAAAGCGTATAAATGAGATGGAAGTTATTTATTTAAAGATTTAAAAATTCGTGGCAAAGGTGCAAATTTGGTTGCGCCGTGCGAGAAAATGCGTTACTAAACTACTTAGAACATTAATTATTAACCAGTTCTGACAAATTCAGCATTGCGTCGTGGATGACGGACCTTAATTTCACCACGACACATCGATTGACACCGTAACGAATTTGTTTTATTTTATAAAATATCGCTGGAGCTTTTTGACTCATTACTTACAATCCGTTTTTGGAGTTTGGACATAATTATATTAATTGTTTTGTATATTGAATGAATTTTGTGGTCTTAATTTTATGTTTTGTAAAAAGTATTCTCTAACTTAGTCAAACTTAGTTAAAGGATCACTTCTTTTAGATTAATGGAAGACAAGAGGTTGTAATTTGAACGTTTTCTTACAAAATATAAGAGCAATAAGCTGTTTTTCAATATGAGTTAAAAATAAACTAGCAGTATTTATATAATATATATTGTATTTGTCAACGCCATTGTATTTAAGTATTTATACAGTTTCATTATAAAAAATAAACGCTTCTTAAATCGAGATCAATAAAGAAAAAAATTCAATTAACAATATCTAACACCAGATATTGTTAACTTTACCTTAAAACATTTTAAGTCAGTCTTGTGATTTTAATTAAAAGATTAGTAATGATGCAATGAAGGCAGGAGCCAACGACCGCGGAGGATAAGCTCGCCAGGCGGGCGCACGCAACCCTACGCGACATGCGTGCGCTCCGTTACGACACCTACACCAAATTTTTCCACATGCCCGAACAGCCGAGATAAGCGGCGAACGACGCCAACGTGTTATTTATTAACGAACCGAATGATCGATAGTTGGACGCGACACCGGACGTGGAGCTGAACGAGTGCTGTCTTTCGAAACCCGCCGCCGTTCCACACACGGCTATGACGCTCGAGACATGCTTCCACCTCAGATATATCTTCGTCTTACACTGTCACTAACAGAGTTAAGACCAAATTGATCTTTTGACTCTACGCGTAGTCTTAAATGCTTGGTGCATGCAAAGACCATCTTTTGCGAGATGTGACCCATGATTAAATCTAAAATCATTTAAAAAAGCTCAACTGATTAGCAATGACATTGATGAATTCAAGAGAATTTCAACTGACGTTGATAAAAAATTGAATGTAGACGTTCGCGCTACGTACTTAAAAGTAAAGCAAAATACTTAAGTTGCTTTTAACTGTATAATATAGGCCGTGATACAAATCAAGGTACGCGATTTGTCTGAGAAACGACCAGGTATGAATGGCCGTAGCGAATGTTTTGTTTGTGTTACCAAAACTCCTTCAACCCTTCGCTCGAAGCCATCCGTTCCACTCTAGCATACGTCACGTCTTCGTGACAGCTGCGTGCGATACTTTCTAATCGTGCACCGTTCAATAGTCGACAGTAAACAAATAGACAAGGAGTAGGCAACTTGCGAAACATTTAATGTTTCGAACAATTGACAATAAAGAAACGAGCGATCAATTAATTATTTATACAGGCACAAGTCGACAATTCTTCGCTGAACCGATTGCATAAATTGCGATATCCAAATAGTGAACAGACCTGTCGAATGAGATGCACGGCGTAGAGTAAATATAAGCTTGTTTACGTTTCGGTTCGAAGGCATCGTGATAGGAAACAGTCGGAAATTCGAGGTTCAGCTTCGCAGGGCAGGTTAGACCAGTCCCGGTGGCCTCGCAAGGACCCCAGCAAACCTGTTAGATTCGTTGCACGATTTTTACGTGCGCACCTACCGGAATCTCATTCACGTGCTGCAGTCGCGCCTCCCGCACCGCTTCGCGACCGCTTGCCAGTTAACTCATCAAATGACTCACGCTTCGGTTGGTTAAATGCCAGTAGCTGGCTTTTCAAGTTTTCTGAACTAATTCGCAAATATACTTCTCTTGATAGACTTTAGATATACATCCTTTTTAAACAGTTATATTGTTTTGCTGGTATTAACTAAGTTTTTTTTATTCCTTAAAATTAATGGATTATTAAATTTTTCCTGTAGTGGCGATAATAGAAATACAAACCACCTAAAATACTTATGAAGTTTTTATATTAGTAAGTTACATACATATGAAAAATTTATAAAAATGTGTTTGATAATATTTTATAATTGTTATTATGTTGCTAACAATTTACCCTAAGAATATTATTGAGTAACGGTAATAGCAAACTTAATTTTTTTTATGTACCAATATATAATATAATCTGTTATATATAATAATATATAACAGACCGTTTAGTAACTACTCTCCAGTGTGTTAACCGTGTTCAAACCTTTATGACAATAACTGATGTTCTGCCACCATATCAACAAGGAACAGGAATCAGGTAGAACTACTATCCGGTCAAACTCGTCCGACGCGTGCTTCCAACATTTTTTATTTATTTGTCTGCATCGTCGGATACCGCTGGGTGTGACGTCAGACGACCTAAACTGGTTGGCGAGGGAGCAGGGATTTGCCTCGTATCCTTCCGGTTCTGCAAGTGGTTTGGACCTGTTCTACATTCAGGTTGCGCGGCACCAAGCAACCCGGCCCGCGTGACGTATGGCCAACTGTTCCACCGGTCTCTTAGTGGGTTATTATCCGAATTAGATAGTTTATGAGACAAGAATACTCAGATCAATACCGATATACAGGTTTGATAAGAAAACACGACAAAAAATCGAATGGACATCGTGTTTAGTGGCTATCCAGTTCAGTTTAACCAGACACTCGATTTGCTGACTCACAATCTGGTGTACGCAACAATTAGCGTACGTATTATAGCGTCACACTATGCGCAGACGACCGCAGATGTATACCATCAAAGGTCAGTATCCGTACCAAAATGGTCACGCCTAATAACTGGTTGTACGTCTGAGTTGTAGTCGGTCCAGTCGTAAAACTACAAGCTTTGGGTACCAGTATTTAACTCAGTGTTTACTTTGTTGATTCAACAGAGTCATTGAAAAATTATGATTCGTATACGAGTTTTGCTAACGTTTAATAATATTAAAATAAATAAGTTTTATATTTTTGTCAGCCATGTCTTACCGAAACTATTAATAATGTGTTGATATATTATTATGCCGATCCGAATTTTAATATCCACAGGGAAAAGTTCGAAATCATAAATTGTTTTAATAACCTATAACTCAACTGCATGATTAAAGACCACATTAAGTCATTTTTTAATTTTGTTGGTAGGAGGCGCAAGGAGGTGATGGAAGTCAGCGGAGATTCGTGGCGTACGTACTATTCAAGCGGAGCTGAGCACCCACTGAGCGCTGCAACGTCGGCAGTACTTGGGGTGGCGGATGAGTCGCAGCCCCAGTCCCTTGTTACGGAGTACTACAAGTTGCCGCCCTTAGGCCAAGACGGACACCTCAATCTGCATAAAGATGTCAAAATCGATGTCTGGCCGTGAGTTCCGTGTATTTATAGATTTCAAAACACAAAATGACCACATAAAAACAGAGATAAAAACTACTGAAAGTAACCCATTCAGTAATAAGTTGTGATAGTAAAACTCTTTCACGGGTGTATTTGAACACATTTTTTGAAACCTTTCATTAATTAAAACTAATCATTCATATAAATGTTCAATGATGTTTACCATAATCAACTGTAAATAAAAAAGAATAAATAGTTATTTTATCTGGTATTTAACAAAAATGGATATCGAGACAATGATGATTGCGGAAAATCAATCGTCGTTTCTCACGGCCGTACATCACATCGAACGTTCGTGTATCGATGCAATTATCATTATAATCGCCGAATTTCGAGGCGCAGTGAATACGGAATGATTTTGCGTAAAATTTATATGTAAACTATGATAATATGTTACCTTTTGTGTTGGCACTGCTTTTTGTGTGTGTTCGATTTACAGGGCTGTGTTACTGAGTCTCACGGATGAGTACACTGAGACATAGGCCGCGTGTCTTCCGGCCCCAACGAAAGGTGTAAGAATAACAAATAATAAAAATGTTAATGTTCCACTCAATAAATCATAAGCACTCATTTGAATACGTATACGAGATTAAAGAAATAAGAGTTCGCAACTGCGAAGAATGTTTGCCCCCCTGGGACTCCGTGCATATATCATTCAAAATTAGCATATTTTTTGCAGTTGATTAGACTTACAGTTTTTATCGATACTTTTTTTACAAATAATAAAGATTTGTGTGCATAAAGCTATATTAGGTTTAATGGATATTTATTACAAACTAAAATAGTATTTGATATTTGAGTAAGAGGCCACTTCTTGTATCTTACGAAGTTCGTTATCAATTAAGTCAGAGAGAACAGTAAAATCATTTTAGGTTAGGATAACCAAAAATAAATGTAGAAAAGTATCAGTGTGTTTAGTTTCTTAGATATTAGAGTAACAAATGAGGTGACATTCCATCTGAAGGTAAGTGACGGCTATAGTCCATAGACACCTGTAATTATAGAGGGCTAAATCACATATTAGATCTTAACGCTTAGATTCGTGATACGAAAAAACAACTAAGCTGTGGGACGATCTGTTACTCATACCATTATTTTTTAAGGTTAATATAAAATAAGCTAGTTTTTAAACATGTTTTATTTGTTTATTTTCGAAAAAAAAATAGTACAATTATTTTTTTTAACAGATGTCTTAGTAGAAATGTCAGTATGCTACTGTGTTGAAACGCTACATTTTCCATGCATTATAAAAATTAAATCTTGGTGTATAAAATAGTATTAAAATATTTTATATTTATAAACGCCATTCAAAATAATAAAAGATATAAAACTATTCATAGAAGATAATGTTAGCGCATTCAACGGCATTCTCATAGAAATGCGACCCCGATCAAATTATGCCTGCTCTTTCAGAGAGGTTGTTAACAGTATCCTTTGAATGGTGACACAAAAATGAGCAAACGCCGTGTCACATTCTGATTATAAAGAGTGCATAATGTTAACTTGACCTTGCAGGCTAGTTTTCACTTTTTTATTACTTTACCGAAATATTCGATGATGTGCACCTCGGGGAAAATATTTATCAATACGATAAGAAACCATGGACATAATTACCTATAATCTATAAAACCGATCGATATATTACCTGAATATTTTTGTTACGACTTATATTTATTTTGATTTTTTAAAATAAATAACAATCCTTCATTTGTAATTTTTAGAGTTTAAAGCTCCACATATTTTTGTACCTATTTTTTTAACTATTGTTTGAAATTGTAGGTACTATATGCTAGTATAACAACCAGTGATAGATACTAAAAATTAAGATAAAAGAAACTAGACGAAAAAGAAAAGGTGACTTGAGGATAACAAGACAGTGGATACTTTAATGTTTGTTAAAAATATACCGTCATTTCAAATCAAAATGATAAATCGTAAAGCACATTTTTAATAATTTTATAGAAATTATTCGAGTGGGTAGAACTCTTCATTTTGATTTGACGCTACGTTAGCTACGCAGCCGTACACATCGACATCTATCAGAGCAACCTATTACAAAATAATGTCGATACTTTTGCCTTCCCCGGCGCCAGGGATATGGATTGTGACGGAACATCGTATTCGGCCTGTCATCCTCGTCACCGCGTACGGGAGTGCATGAATACAAATAATGACAATAGACGGATGTAGCTGGAAGTGGCTCACATTGACAAGGACGGCCAGGACTTGTCTCGGCTCATTGTCGGCACGCGTCCCACGCGCCCGGCTAAGCGCACGCTGCTATTTCTCATTCATACATTCAAAATTATAACGAACGTTAGCTCGCCCGCACCCATTCGTGAGCGTTGTGTCGCCGCATGCGTTTGTATGCAAATCCGTTATGTAGTTCAGTGCCAGAATATCGTCAGTTTCGGGGCCTGTATTTGTTGTCTAAATCGTCCGTATTATTTGAATTGAATGCACGATAGATGTTGAACTAAACTAGTTCGGTTTGTATAATACGCTCCTTCGAGATTCGACGTAGGCGTAGGTATTATAAATGTTGCGTATTGTACAGACGTAGCTGACTCCGACAACTTAGTTTACGGGTAATATGGGTATTAAGTGAAAATTATGGCTATAACCATTAATAGCTGTCAGGGAGTCGTGTATGTGAGCGCCAAGATTAGCATAGAAACGCACGACGGGAAGGCTCCGGGGAGGGCCTCGCCCTCTTGACCCTGTCACTGATCACACTCGCAGCTAACGGGAAATCGGTTTCTCTGTAAACACTTAGTATGCAACGCTTTAATTGGGTATATAAATTAAATGTATATTTTAAATATCACAGAGCTCATTTGAAACGATAACGACGACTTAATAGGTGAGCAATAAATAAGAAGTCATTAAACATAACATATTTAAATCCAATTTTTTTATGTATTGGAAAACCTATTCCATAGGTTTGTTTAATTTTCATCTTGTAGTTTTTTTTTGCGAGAAATTATTAGAAAAATATCTACATAATTGCTACAGCTATTAAGTTTTTTTCTTGAATTGTAAGCAGAAATTCGCAGCAAACTGAAGCGTCGCGGTTGCTTAACAAAAACTGAGGGAGCTGGAACCGTGTGACCCATTTAGGATCAGAACCGGTTTCCTCTTGAAGATACGTCTGCATTGTTATAGTTAGCAGTTAATACCGTACAATTCCCTTGCAAACACCGGACCCTCTTGCAAAGATAATGTATAAAGAAGATAGTAATATCGTTTTGTCGCAAACAGTAGTGGTCATCACGTAGCGAAATATGAAATCGGGGCTTGACCATTCTTCTGTCCATTTTTTTATGTTTTTATTTTCCTTTCAAACGGTTAGCTAAAGAAATCCAATTACCGTTACAATCTATGCGAATTATCACACAGCTGTCTTTATTATTATTATTATTTTTAAACTGGCTTTACGGCTCTGGGTTCTAGCCCTTCTGAGCCTATTTATTATTATTACTCCTTACATATACAAGATACGAGTAGCACTTTTAATTAGTTGGTAATGCAAGCGGAAAGACGTTGCTTAGTAAAATAAAGCGCTTAACCGATTGCTCATTTTTAATAACATTGACAAATGGCGAAATCGTTTTCAATTAAACTTTTTGATAATATATTAGTTCCGTGAGAAAAGTAGCAATAAACCTACATTTGGCTGAATGATATATTCAAATAGAATGGAATTACGTTACTCGCATCCGCTGCAAGCGCCTTCTTCATCTCGTTTTATCGGCTCGATAGATTTTAATCTATTCGTCAAACGATGTATAAACTGTCGTTGCTTCTGATCGTAACCATGATAATACTGCGTATGTTTATTTTTAAGGTTCAATAAGTAGATAGTACCTGCTCATTAATTTAATACCTTTTTGCTGTTTACATTTGCGTGTGGATATAATTTAAAATACTTTTAAGACTTTAACGGTGTAGCAAGATTCTTTTATAATCGAATCGTTGGAAAATATCAACTGTCAAGAGTTTGTAGATGTATTCATGGTAGCATTTAAGTTATAGGTATATTGCTTATTATTGAACAAAAATTGTGTCAATTTACAAAAAGTAACAAGATACATTTATACCTACCGTTTTTTCACTTCTGGATGTATGCAATTTTAATAAATATATATAAGTAGAAAAGCAAACAAATGTGGATATATCAATATTTAACAAAAAAAAACTTTAATAATGAATAGTTAATTTAGTATTCACTTTCAAGATTGATTTGGAGCTGATAAGCCATTTCATCATACCTGCTCTTTTTAAATTTAGGGTAAGTTTCACCCTAACGTTACATTGTCGATGTCTCATCATGTGTGAAAGGGTGTTAAGTAAACATTGCAAATAATTATAGAAGCGATTGCATCTGAGTGGGCAACATGCAGATTCTGTTTAAGCAAGGCACCTTTACATTTGCATGCGAAATATAGTCACAGTTGCCAGAGGTGTTCATACTTACATTTTATTGCCAACACTGTTATGTTAATCGTGTGCAACATGACACTGATATCAGATTAAGAGTTCGGGAATTTATCTCGTGCTTCCGTTAGTGGGGTTGCCTAACGGGTAAATTTTTTATTTTTATTTTATTACTTCAAATTTGCAGTCATATAAAATTATAAAATTTTTCTACTAACTACAAGACTAATTACTTTAAAATATTAAAATAATTTAATAATATGATAACGGCTATAACTTTTGAATAATCAAAAGCGTGTAGGTACTACAAAAAGAACTTAGTGGCACCAAATACCTATAAATAGATTTTGGAATTTGATTGCATTTTTATTAGTGTGAGAATCGCAAATGTTTCATTTCATGTTATTTCATATAATATTATTCTTTAGTTCTTCAGTTTTATTACAAAAAATAATAATTAATTAACTAGTTGCAGGTTTAAAGTAGAATCCGTTTCAATAAAGAAGCCCATAGAAAATATGCAAACTAAAATG